AGAAAGGTCTTAGAAATCTGTTTAAAGTAAAATAGTTTTCTTTAAAGTAGTATTTAATGGAGCTTTTAAAATCTTAATCTAATATCTAGAAGAGAACCTGATAAAATAAATATCTGTGAAGTAAGTAATGATGCATTTTTTTGAAACCAGTAGGGACAAAGTTTTCAGATTTTTCCTTTTTTTTTTTGCATGTTTTCTATTTACCTAATTAATAGATATTAAATAAATGAATGCTATTAAATGCATGTATTTATAAAGCGCTTTCATGCTGCAAGTCTTGTAGGTATTCAGGATAGCAATTGTAATCATGATGGCAATAGAATTAACTAAGTGTATTCTTCCCAAGTCTTCATTCTAGAAATTCTGTATTTCATCTCATTTTTGCACAACTCAGGGAAGTAGATACAATTGCATCTTTTGTAACTAAGTGTAGAACTGAGAAGCCGGTTTATCTGGCCAGCAACAGGATTTTTAAAAAAATCTTCTTAAGAGCCACACAAACAAACAGCATGAAGAAAGATTTGTTGTTTGGTGGCATTTTTAACGTGGTTTAGTAAGGGACTATTTAAAAATATGAATGCTTTTGATGTAAAAATTAGCTTAATAATTTGGTCTTTCCAAAAGATAATAATAAACATATGGAAAACATTATGAAGGAAGGCACAATAGCTAAAAGTCTATTAAGTTGCAGGGAAAAAAGGAGCATAGTATTTCTTCATGAGAAATCTAAATATTGCCTGTTCTGTTTTGTCTCTCTGCTACCTATTGACGTGTGGCTATTATTTGAGGTATTGGATCTCATTTGCTTTATTCTGTTTCTACCAAATTATGAAGACTCAAATTATTTCATTGGAGGAAAATGAGTAATTGTCTAGTATTAAGTAGATTAAATAATTTGTTAGCTGATGCTTTCTTTAGATGCTTGGGGAATATGTAGGAGGGTGAAATCCAATTTTTACCTTAAAAAAATCGAGACAAGTATACTGGGCCATATGAGTTTCTTCCATTACCAAAATGTTGTACATTTTGTCACCTCATTTTCATGCTCTTTTGCTTCTGAGTGGTTAAAATATCCTATATTTAAATCTATACTCTCAAAATAATATATCTATATTAAATAATATCTGGTAAGTATGGATTCTGGACTTATGTACAGCCACGTCTAACCCTGCAAGGCATATGTTTAAGTAATAAAAACTACAATAAAACCTAGGAACCCAAGAAAGATCTTCTACTAAGGATTAGTGTGTGCTTTCCAGGGTGGATGTTCCATTTATAACACTCATTTGTTTCCTAGCATCGAGGCCAAGTTTCCACTTATTACATGTCTCCTTGCTTTAATATTAACTTCCAGTTTGGAGCACTGCAAACTCTCTCTCCATGCCTCAATTAAAGCTAAGCACATCCACTCCACCTCTACTACCAATTTTACTAGAAGCCACTTCAAAGATCCATTTTAAGAAATGAAGAATGATCATTGGTTCCTGAAGCCAAGGTTGGCCCTGCTCATAATGAAGCTGGACTTCTCTCACTTCCCCTTTACAAAACACAGGTATTTTTTCTTTCCAAAACATTTTTTCTCTTCCCCTAAAGTTAAAACTGCTTGTTTTGTTGATGCTGCTGGCATTATTAGGGAGGAGATAGGGTATCCTCTCAGTCAGGGCTGCTCAGAACACACACACACACACACACACACACACACACACACACACATGTAGACGTGCTATGACATTAAATACCACACTCTGCTGTTGTTAATAAATATGAAGTTCCAAAACATTCAAAGCTCCTCTCAGTTATAGACAGGCCCAAGAACATAGTAATGAATGTTTCTTTACCAGGATGTCTGCATCTTATCGTGCTATGTGAAAGTGAATGGCAGTGACACAAACTCCACAACTTTTCCATTTCCAATTTTCTCGGTTCAACTCTACTTTTTGACCATTTTCTCAACTGTTCATTTGTAGCGCTCTTTCTGGACTCCGTGATATTGCTTATTATACAAACCACTGCTCTCCTTTCATCTACTGTGTGCACTGGTGACTAGGAAAAAAGCGAAGTAACTTTTGCTTTCTGAGGAGATCCTCTGGCTGCCATAGATACACAGAGCCTGTGTGTACAGGGGTCACCTAGAAAACATAGTCGCAGATGCTGTGTAGTAACCAACACTCACACCCATGCAACACACACACTCCAAACAGTTTGGCTCACGCTGAAGATGCACTCCTTCAGAAAGACATATTCTTGTCACCTGATGGAGCTACTGATCCTCATTTCTCTGAAAATAATTTGTCTGCCTAGGTCTTCCCAATTCTGCAGTGCAATGTGAATTTGAACCCTAAAACCATACACAGGACTATAAAAGTTTATATAGTATTAAAGAGGATGCTGTGTCTCTTCTCCAACCACAAGCAAGGCCGTGAGAAATGAAAACACTCGCCTTCTCCAACGGTGGGAGGGCTTCTTCTGGCTCATCCTGACTGAGGGTGTGGTGTTCTGGGAAGTTCTGGCCTCATGCAGATCTCATCCCTCTTACTGGGGTCCAAGGTCGTTTCCTACCCCCTGTGTGGCTGTTCCAGGCTGCCTAAGTCTTGCAGCAGCCCTCATCTCCGTGGGAGTGAAGAATGCCATTCACCTCACCGGGTAAGTTTCAGAAGTTTCAAGCTTTCCTCTGAGCATATTAACTAGTCTTCTATCCGTTCCTCCAGCATGATGCTCTCATCCCTGAAGCTGGTTGCCCAGTGGTGTTTCATCAGCTTGCAGGCACACACACATCCATACCCCTTTCTTGTTCTTAGATCTGATTCTAGTTACATTCAAGCGCTGTTTAATGCTGGGCATACATTTTGAGAAATGCAGCATTATGGAATTCTGTCACTGTGTGGACGGCACATGGTGGTTCACTTGCACAACCCTACAGGGCAGAGGCCAATCACTCCACAAGGCTTCTCCGCACAATCAAGAGACTCAGTGGACATAAGCCAAATGAGGCTGCTGCCAACAGAACAAGGCACACTGTTGTTCGCCATTTTTCAATAACCAGAAAGAGGACAGTCTAATATAATGATAGTGCTGAGTGTGAGACCCCGTGAGAAAGCACCTACCTATTGCACACAGGGCCCTGGGTTCCAGTCCCACCACCACCAAACAGAAGAGGTAAAAGTATGGTGTGGTCAACACATTCCACTGAGGCACTTGTTCCCTGTCGTTATCCTGTATTATGTGCTGCACAAAATACTTTCAAGTGACTGGCAATGTGATGGGTTTGTCTACAGCAAGAGCATAAACAGAAGGATAATGACCTGGAACTCAGACAGAGAGCAGCACCTTACAGCACTAGAGGAGGACAATGTTTCAGCTCCATGGTAATCTTGTGAGTCTGCCATCGTATCTGCAGAGCATCAGTAACTGAAACATTGATATGGAGCTCAAGTCTGCCTGCCCTCAGATGGGTCTGCCTTCACCACTGAAATCACCATGGGATTCAGCATTACTTTATACCAGGCTATTCTTAGGCATATTGAGCCCAGAAGAAAAAATGTGGGTCTCCAGATTTTGCACAGTTGCCTTTTATTTCCAAGAATTTAACTACATTCATTAAATAACAAGTATGCTACATAACTAAAATATTACTCAGATTTTAAACTCTACATCCATACAAAGAAATGAGGGAGTTTGAGGGGAGAGCCCAAGACCACTTCAGGAACTTGCTCAGGAATACTTCACATTTGCAATTGCACTTTGGACTCCTGTCTTCTATTGTTTTAGAATCCAGACTTCCTAGGGAAGGAGCACTGCAAAACTTCTCATGCTCAAAAGACCTGGTGATAACATCTCTTCTTTTGCATTCACCAGAATGCCCCAACTTACTTTTGGAGGCTGTGTAAGGATTTGTGCACATATTTCACAGTCAAAATAAGCTCTGAAGAGCTCCTTCTTCCCATGTCTGCTGGCATCTGCCAAGCAGCTCTGCACTGTGAGGCCCTCACACTGACTTGCAGCCTCACCCAAGGGCTTTCACAGTTTTACCTTTAGTTGGCAAAACCTTGTGCTCCAAGCATCATATAAGTCTCTTTAACTGAGTATAAAAACGTAGTAATAATGCTTAAAAACCACATGAAATGCTACTTATGGGCCGGGGATTTAGCTCCGTGGTTCCATTGTCTGCCTTGCAAGTGTAAGGCCCCAAGTTCGAACCCCCTTACCAAAAAAAAAAAAAAAAA